AACCTAATAATAATAATGTATACATATATATTGCTTGAATAGAACATACCTTAACAAATGAGTTAAAACCTTAATTTGTACGGAGTCGGAGTTATTTTGTTGGGCACAAAACTTATTTGAAAGTCTTTGGGCTTTCGTTGTAACGGTCTTCTAAATTTGGCTCGTGACCCAGTAGATAAATAAATCGTAGGCCCAATTAAGCATTTATTTTGACCTTACAAGTTTACAATATTTGAATATCTTATTACTATAACAATTCAACAATTCACTTTTATGACGGATTAAATAGTTGTCGTAATTAAGTTGTGTCTATCCCGACCTAATAAATTTTTGAATTATTTCTATATTGGCGTTTGAGCGGACGAGTAATTGATAGCATCCGAATCGAGATTAATTCCATTTATTTACTATAAATAAATTATTGGAAGTGTAAAAAATCATATACATGTAATATTGCCTCATAGAATTTTCACTAAATTTCCGCAAATTTTTTTGACTTAATTTTGTCAACTTTGCTTCATACACGTATCTCTTAGGTTTTAGAAACAAAAATTAATTTTTTTTGCCGATTTTGCCTCTACTTTTCACAACCCTAATTTTACAATTGTGGACTCATTTCAAAGATCTCTCACTTACCTATATATTGAATGCAATTGTGCCTCTGACAATTCACAACTCATCACACACAAGAGCAAGATGCATAATTTTTTTTTTGTTACATTTGTCTGAACAAACGAAAGAAAGTGAAAAGAAAACACAACTTGAATTAAAAGTAAAACTTGAAGAAATGGAGAGATGAGAAAGCTCAAACATAGAACATAAATACACCAGAAGAGCACGCACATATGGTAAAAATTCCACTCTTTTTTTCCTAATATTTTGTTTCTAAGACTAAATCTATATGAACAATGTGCATAGATCTGTATTTTTTTATGTTAACATTTCTTATTTGTTTCAGAAAAAAATAAGTTTTAATTCGTTGGATTTGTATTTTGGATAATCGATCTTTTATTAGCAAATTTGGTGCGATTTAAGTTCGCAAATATTTTTAATGCTTTAGGGATCTCCTTGCGTGAATTGGATAAAAAAAAACAATTTTTTTCGTTTTCGTGTATAATTCTATTTTGATTTTTTTTCTATATTTGACGAATAAAGTTTTTTTAATTTTTATGGTACTCTTTTAAGAAAAATCATGAATCGGTCTTCTATTAGCGAATTTGGTGCGGTTTAAGTTCATAATTTTTTTTGATGCTTCGTGGATCTCCTTGCGTGAATTGCATAAAAAAAATGATATTTTTCTTGTCGCTTTTGTGTACCACATTCTATTCGGATTCTTTTATGTTTTACATCTTTGACTTTTTATGATATTTTGATTTTTCTTGGGGTGGTTATATACGCAGGCGCTATTTTGGCGAACATGCACTTTTTTACTATAAGTTTTTACCTTTTTACTTTGAGTTTTTACCATTTTACATTTTTATTTCCAAATCCTATAACCCTTTAAAAATCGAATTTCAACATTCATTGCAAAAAAATTAGATATTCAGCAATTTCTGAAATGGATCCAACAAATATAGACCCGGAGGTCATATTTTCGTTTTTTCTCGAATCTTCAAGTACTCGTGTGATATTACG